CATAGTGTTTTGTAAAGACATGATACTAAGTAGCCTCAAGAAGAGGATGAAGCATACCATGATGAAGACAGATGAGAACTAAACTCAGACCTGCCATGGGCTGAACTGTGCCTTGATGACCCAGTATGACTGTCTGGCTTTTAGATAGCTGAGGTAAAATGATGCTATGAGGATGCTGCTCTGCTTCAGAAAGACTGATGGACTCTTGAGAAGAGAAAAACATACTAGGGACTCTTGTCTGTCTTGCTTCTGGCCCTCTAGTACAGAAGGGAAACCACCTGAGGGCTGGGGACACAGAGGGAAAATGCTCTTCTTTTTTTATTTTTAAGACAGGGTCTCACATAGCCCAGGCTGACCTTGAACTTGCTATGTAGCCAAGGATGATCTTGAACTTCTGCTCCCTGACCTGTACCTTCTGAGTGCTGGGATTACAGGTGTAGAACACCAGGCACTCTACTAACTGAGCAACATCACCAGCCACTGGCCTGAAAGCCCAAAGAAAGGTTCCTAGAGAAACTAATGTGGTTGCTTCCTTGGCCATGACCTTTCAGCCCCAAGAATAGCAAAAGGCTGGTATCTGTTGCGTTTGCTTTGTTATAGCAGCCCAAGCAGTCTTACAGGAGGCATCTGAATGTGTTGGTTCCTGAACTTGATAACAATGGTAATGGCCTTCAAGCCTGTGTCTGTGTATCATGCCCCAAGCAAAAAACATAATGGTCAGCCTCATCCATGACTAGCAAACACATCTTTCTCCCAATTGAGAAAAGTCCTCCCAGGAACCAGACTATTGTGCCTTATCTCCACACTCACTGCTCTTTGCCTGAACATCAAGTGACTTCACCACTCTATGACAATATCAGCATAGAAGAATACAACCAGATGACTTCCTGCTTTGTGAGTACAGGGCTTGAGGACACAGTGGGGACACGGCTCAGTATGAAGCTCTGGTAGTGCCACAGGGCCCATGAAAGTGAGAGAAATGCAACAGAGCAGCTGGTGTGGCACTTGCTCTTCGGCACACTTACCAGCTGGGCTCCTGCACCCTGTTCCAGGTGTAACAGTGTGTGTCTATAGCCCCAGTACTTGGAGGCAGAGATAAGAGGATACCTGGAGCTTATTGGCCAGCCAATCCAGCTGAATGGATAAGCTCCAGGTTCAACAGAGATTCTGTCCCAAAATACAAGATAGCAATATAAGAAAACACCCAGCTGGCATGGTGATGCACACCTTTGATCCCAGTACTCAGGAGGTAGAAGCAGGTGGATCTCTATGAATTCAAGGCCAGCCTGGTCTACACAGCTTGTTCTAGAACAGCCAAGGCTACAGAGAAAAACCCTGACTCAAAAACACCAAAATAAACAAAAAAAGAAAGAAAAGAAAAGAAAAAGAAGACACCGAACACCAACCTCTGGCCTGTAGGTGCATACACACATGTGGGATAACACACACACACACACACACACACACACACACACACACACACACACTATGGGAGGTGGAGAGAGTGTAGCTATTCCTTCTTAATTGAAACATTCTCTTCTGAAGGGAAAAGAGAGGCTCATAAAGACTTGAGACACTAGAGGAAGCTGGGAAAAATCACAAGACCCGCAAGAGCCATGTGCCCCCCCCCTCCCACCCCCCATTTCCACCCCACCCCGACCCCAAACCCTGCCTGGTTATATAACAGTAACAGTTGTTGGAAAGACAAGTCTATCTCTGGTGGAGCTGCCTGTCTGCAAGATGTATAGGGAGCTTCTGGGATGCAGCTTTTATGAGTCATCACTATGCTAACCTGTGCTTTTCCAGTGTCGTGCCTGCCTTTGAGTCACCCATAATCCTGTAAGTGACCCCAGTAAACTCCTGACTAATTCACCAAAGCAGCCTTGGGGTGTATTCATTTCTTTGGCCTGTAGTCTGTTCCTATATGGAGTGAACAGATGTTTGGTTATGTCTCCCTAGGAAAAGTCACAGAACACTTGAATGGAGGTTAGTGGTTTTTCCAGTTAGTACAGACATCAGTAAGTGAATTTACAGCTCATCCATGTGCCCTCTGGCTCATGGACTAGCAACAGGCAGGCCAGCAGAGTATCCTGCCATGGACAGCTTCTATGGGAGGTGTTCGGTGTTCGGTGTTCAGGTAGACATCAGTGGTAAGGATCCCAAACCATTGGTATAGCCAAAAGTCCACAGCTGCCAAAGCTCCAGTAGATCCTACTCACTTGCTCACCCTCACCAGAACCAGCAGGATCCTGGAATGTCTGGAAACACCACTGACAGGGACACGGCTGCAGTCTATTCCAGTGCAGTGTTTTTCTAGTCCCTGAGCCCATCTCAGGGACAGTGTCTGTTCTGAGCAACGTGGGCCTGGGGCAGAACTTTAGTCACAGACACTTCTGGTGAATATGAAGAGGAAGCCTCCTGATTGCTCTAGGTCTCAGAACTATTTCTCCACCACTTCTCTGACACCGCCCCCTCTGCCATGGCCTTAACCCCAGCCATCATCTCCACATTGCTCTGCCAGATTCACCCCATACCCTGTCCTGAGAGTCTGGAAGGAGAGACCTGATGTTCTGTGGGAATCAGCTCGTCAGCACAGCATGTCCCTACCCCCAATCTTCCATTAATCAGGAAAACTGTTACTGAGTCTCCAATTTTCCACAAGGTCTTCTGAAGCACTCTGTGGGCTTCCTTTAGCTGTGTCTGACTCATGGCTTCCTCTTTAAGGTCCTTTTGTTTGTTTGTTTGTTTTGTTTGTTTTTGTTTTTTGAGACAGGGTTTCTCCCTGTAGCCCTAGCTGTACTGGAACTCCCTTTGTAGATTAGGCTGGCCTCAAACTCACTTAGATCTGACTGCCTCTGCCTCCTGAGTGCTGGGATTAAAGGCGTGTGCCGCCACCACCTAGCAGATAAGGTGCTTTTAAAAGCTTAGCAAATACTTGCCTTGCAAGCATGAGGATCCAAGGCTGATCCATTCTCACCACCTATGGGAAAAGTCAGGGATGTTCTTATAATTCAGTAATGGGCAAGCATTGACAGGCATCCCTGGAGCTTGCTGGCCAGCCAGGCTAGCCCAGTCTGTGGGCCCAAGGTCCTAATGAGAGCTCCTGCCTCAAAAAACAAGGTGGGTAGCACCTGAGAAACATGTCCTCTGGCTTCCATGCATGTGTGTGTGCGCACACGCGCGCACATACATACATACATACACACACACACACACACACACACACACACACACACACACTCTGCCTGCCTGGGAACTGTCCCCTGAAAAGCCAAGGAAGGCAACAACTGCTTTGGGTGTCCATTGCTGGCTTTGGATTTAAAGGTCATATCAAGCAAATTCAGCCAGTTACAGAAAAATAAATGTCACATTTTTTTCTCATTTATGGGGCCTAGATTTTATACAGATCTATAAAGTCTTAGAAGCAGTTAAATGCTCCACCACTGAGCTATTTCCATATAATCATACGTGCCACATGCACCACCATCAATTGGGGCTGCCCATTGCACAGAGGCCTGGGCACCACTCTGAGTGTGAGAACCCATCTAGGGGAAGAGAGCCTCAGCTACTCATATCTTGCAAACTGTGGATGACTCTGAGTCCCATTAAACAGAACAGCCCACAGTGGATGTTCTTTCTTCCAGAGGCAACAATTGCCCCAGGATGTCAGAGACCCACCCTGACAGAGTCTCTAGCTCATTATGCAATTCATCAAATCCCAGATCGCCACACGCCTACTTAAAGTTGATCTGGTCTTAACCCCAAACCTTCCCAACCGTGAGAGTTTACAGAAGCCTCTGGGTTTCAGAAGAGACCCATAAACCCAGCCTTGCTTTACGACCTGAGAAGGAATGACCACCCAAGCAGCTGCCGAAGAACCTAGCCAGAGCAGCAAGTCACAGCCCTGCCAGATGCCTGTGGCTCCCCACCCTCCAAGGTCCAATGTTGGGATCTCTCCCCAGGGATTCTGCTACCATGTTGTAAAACACGGGCTTCTGGCAGGATAAGGCACCACTCTACCTCTAATACACTGCTAAACCAGAGCCACATCACCAAGTTCCCATCAGTAGCAGTCTAGGCCCTCCTTCAACATCAGATGAGTGGGTGAAGAGACAGGCACCGGATCATACAAAACAGAAACACACATGAAGCCAGGACTGGGCAGGAACCTCTGCCAGGCAGATGTCACATCTGAGGTGGCTCTAGGATGCCCCTCTTCTGGCTCTCCTCTTAATACAGATGAGGAGAAAGGGAACACTCAAAACAGATCCCCGGGGAGCCAGGAGGTGGCTCAGGCTGGAGAGTGATGCTGTGCAAACATGAGGACCTGAGTTAGGATCCAGCACTTGCATAAATAGCCAGCCACGGTGTCATGCACTTGTAATCCCAGCTGGGGGTGGGGGTGGGGCAGAGACAGGGCAGATGCCTGGCCTCTGGCAAGTTCCAAGCCAATAAAAGATTGTGTTTCCAAACACCATAGTGGACGAAGCCTGAGGAATGACATCTGAGATTGGTTGTCCTCTGTCCTCCACCAGTGGTTGGCTATCCCTCTTTACCTTGAGAATAGATATGTGGACAGGGATAAGATGGGGTTTGTAGGAAGTGAAGGCATTTATGAATCAAGTCTACATCCTATCTTTTAAGTAGGAACATGGCACCATGAGAGGGAAAGGGGTCTGTCAAACTATATTAATCAGAGGCTGAAACTGGGGTAGAGGCTCAAGACCCCAGCATTATGGGCATCTTAGAGAGCCACCAGAGGTGAGAGGAATTTAGAAATCTGTCTTCTTGGTGTAATAGGCCTGAGCACAGGACACAGCCACATGTAACTCCATCCAATTAGCACCTGAACTGCAGTCCATAAAGGTGCAGAGCCTAGCACTGGAAGGAGACAGAGCCTGGCCTTCTATGCTTGAAGACAGCAGCACAGAGCAAAAGGGAGAGCCTGAGGGTGAAGTAACATCTGCCAAAATAGACACACCAGACACAGATCACCGGTTTTCCATGAAAATTAGCCCTTTACTCCGGGAGGTGTGGCCCTGGCCAATGAGAATATCTTTAGCCCAAAGGGCAGACACTCTCAGGGAGGTCCAAAGGCCAGGAAGGGTTCCTTCCAGGAACAGCTGAAGGATACAGCCTGGCTGGAGATGCCTTTGGTGACAAGGAGCAGTGAAGCCCAGATGTGGTTGTCAGGAGGCCTCGGGTGACCCCGAGGAGGACTTCCCTGTGGATGAGCTCAGCTTCCATCTCTGAGAAATGGCAGGAGGATCACGTCTGGCCCTTTCTGACCTTGGTGAGAAACAAACAGGGTTGATTTAGTGTTGAGCAAGCAATGGGAGGATCTAGAAAGGGCTTGTCCTTGTTGGTGGGACATCAGAAACTGGCAGTAAGGTTCCGTACCCACCAAGGGCAGAACCCTGGGAACTTGCCATGCACTAGGCACTGTGTAAGCCCTGGAGACCTGGCGGAGTCCCATGTGAGATTCCTCCCCAGCTCAAGCAGCCTCACAAAGGAGGAAATAAAGCCTAATGCTGAAAGGTAGTTCCTACATCACGCCTGGCATGAGCCTGAATCTCAGGGAGGATGGAAATGGTCAAAGTCTGTAGTAGCCAGTGACAAAAGGCCAGTTCCACAACAGGGCACTTGTCTCAGGACAGCAATGTTGCAGGTGAGATAGGGTACATGGGGACCACAGCCAGCCCTCTAAATTTCTTTGCTAGAAGGTTTTACCTAGAGGAGACAGCCTTCCTGTCAGCCATGGGGCAATTTAAAGAATGGAATGGGCAGGGTATGGGCAGAGGTCTTGAGGGAAGTCAGAAACTCAAGCCCCAAGGAACCCTAGAGAAAATGAGCAGAGAAAGTCCCAACTCTGCCTCATGAAGACAGCATGGAGAGGTAACCACTATGGGTTGGAGGGACAACACCCCCTGGATGCTGCAGGAGTAAAGGCAAGTGACCATGTGTTCACATGTAACCAAGCAGCCTTAGAACCCTATCTACAGCTAATCCTCAGTATTTGTATTATCTTGATATAGAATATTCTATGGGCTTGTCCCCATGGCCACCTGTACACCCTACCTGTTCAAGGACCAAATTCTGTGATGGTCACCACTGTGATCTGGAAACTGTGGGGAATCAGGATCCCTGAGGGCTCCAGCTAGGCCTGAAGAGCTTCTGATGCCCCAGCCCCAGATGTCAGGCAGCTCTGTGTTCATACATGGTCTCACTGTTTGGCCTTCTTTTTCCATGCTATTCACCCCCAGAGCCCAGGCTTTATTTGGCCTAAATTTACAGCTGATCTGATGCCAAAGGAACTAGGACTTGCTCCCACCACATGATCATCTCATGTCAGCTGTACTGTGACCCAGAGCTTAGCAGCTTAGACAATGCAGTCATTCTGCTTTAACGCCTCCCAATCCACTGTTTAAAATCAAATTCAGGGCCCGAGGAAACAGTTTCATGAATAAAAGCATTTGCCACACAAGTGTGAGGATCTGAGTTTGAATCCTCATTAAAGCTGGAGGCATGGCATGAACCTCAATGCTGCTGTGGAAAGATGGGAGACAGAGACAGACGATTCCTGGAAGCTCTCAGGCCAGCTAACCTGGTATGCTACAGAAAAACAGCAAAGTGGCCCTGCCCCCCCCCAACACACACATACACACACACAAACGGTAGATGAGGATCAACCCCTGAGGTTGTCCTCTGACCTCCACTCACATGCCGGAATTCATACACACACACAGACAGACACAGACACACGCACACACGCACGCACGCACGCACGCGCACACACATCCCACCCTCTGTTTCACACCTCCCAAGGCCAAGTGTTGGCCACAATACAAATCTGTAAATGACACACAAGGATTATGGAGAGATGGCAGCCCCCACCCAGGCTTGGGGTAAATGGGAAGCCTAAATGGCAGTTGACGTTCATGAGCCTAGGCACCACGTAGCCCCAGCTTCAGCTTCAAGGCCAGCAGGAGAACCCCAGATTATTCACATGTTCTAAGAGCAGACCCTTCAAGTGCTAGTCTGAAGGCCCCATTAGGACAATTGGCACCCAATGCCCCATATCTGCAACTATGCTCAAAAGTCTCTGGGCTACATGGATGCCAGCCTCCACTCTCAGGGCAACTTCTGTCTCCCCAGCATTCCAGTGTAACAGTTTGGATCCTGGAGGCTATTTAGCACCTGAAATAGTGGCTAGTGTTCAAGAGGGCCCCAGGAGGATGCTGGGATATGGATACCCACCCCCTAAACACCATCTACATTGGGTCCTGAGGACCCTGTGGTGAAAACTCATCAGAAGCAACAGTGGCTCTACCTGAGACACTTGGAAGCCAAGCTCCAGCAGTCTGTGCCACCATAGGGCCTGTCTTAGGGAGTTCCACATTGAGGGAGGCACTCTAAGGACAGATCATTCCCAGGGTCACACAGGAGCCATGCTGCAGAATTTCCATGAGTCTCTTGAGACAAGTAGATAGATTTGCCTCCAAGTGGCCCAATGGGACAAGTCAGGGGCAATACAGAGATGACGGCACAATTAGAGACTACACCTTCAGACTATGGTACTTGTGGGCTGAGTGTCTGTGTGTGCGAATTGATTGAGTGTTCCTGTTTGAACCTTCCCAAAATAATTTGTTTTTTTTTAATCCCAGTCGGTTTGCCTGCAAAGTCACAAAGCTTCTACAGCATGATTCATTCCCTCTCCCTCCCCAGGACTTAAGGTCACCTAAGGCTTTCAGATTTTCCCCCTAATCTTCACAAAGGCAGTGCTGGCCTTTCCTGTGGGTCTGATGAGGTTCCAGGTTGGAGCGGGGACATGAGGGAGGTGTCTGCCAAGGGTCTAACGTGACAGATTGGTTTCCTTGTTAGAGGTTGAAAGATGCGGCAGAACTTTGCTGTCTTTGGCTTTTAAAGCATTTGCCAGCCATGCAGATGACCACAGAGAACCACAAAACACACTTCTTAATGAGTCCACGAGATCAGAGGCCAAGCTCAGCCAGAAACACTGCAAACACAGCACGCATCACATCCTATCATCACAGTCAGAACTTTAAACGTGGCATGTGAGCCATAGAGGTGGTGGAGGGATGAGCTGTACCTCCCCTCCTCCCTCCCACATGGAGGCAGCTGGCTTCAATCATACATGTCCCCTTATCTCCTGCCTGCCTCCTGGTAGGACATCAGAGAGAGCTGTGTCCACACCAAACAAATATTTGGCCATATTTTCCCCTTTACAGCATCTCATGGCCAAGGCTATACATAGCTACTAGAGTTAAATGTGATCCAATTTACACCTGGTTACAGCTGGCAGAGCTCCCAGGGAATGGGAGCCCATCTTGGACCAACCCAAAGAACATGCTGGAGAGTAGGGGTTTTCTAACTGTATTATGCAGACACAGCAGATTCCAGGCTCAGAACACAGGGTTTCTGGATCAGACCTGGAAATGGATTTGAGAGATCCAGTCTGTGCTCTCAGAAAGTGCAAACCCAGCTACACAGTCAGCCTGTGGCCTAAACCATCCAGGACTTTCAGACTGGGCTGCCCCATTTTACTTCCAAGTCCCTTCATACCCTAGCCCATTATATTTGGTTGGCATCCATGCAAGGACCACAGAACTTAAATTCCACACCAGACTCCCTGAAGCTAGAGTACCAAGTTAAGACTCTTCCACCAAACCTACCAGGTTTCCCCCAGTCCAGGCTGCATCCTCCACCTCTCACCTCCACGTCTCATGCTGATGTCACTTCTTTCCTCCTCAGCCAGTGTCTGACTTCCCCCTCTGCTGCTCATGCCACTGGGCTGGACCAGGAGGTGTCTCCTCTCAGTTCCACAGCTGCCAAAAGCAGCTCTCCCAGTGCCCATGCCCAGGTGTGATCCCTGGCTCCAAATGATGATTGTTTCTGACCCATGGCCAGTTGTCCAGTATACGGCTGACTCTCATGAGTGCTTACCAATGATGGAGGCAGGGTGATGGCAGAGGCCGAGGGCCTTGAGAAGGGAAAGTCAAGGAGTGAACATCAGAATCCCAAAGCCAGTCACACATAGTAGCCACTGATGTAGGCTTATTTATCCACATGTCCTTCACTCAGCAGCAGCTTATTAGCCCCCCAGGACCATCTGAGGTTCTAATTCCTTACTGTTAGCCTCTTTCTTCTTTGAAGTGTCCTCTGGAATAGGAACTGTTAATATTCCCATTTTACACATGGAAACTGAGGCTCAGGGTGATTAAGAACTTGTCTTTAGTCTTTGGCCTTGTGAGATCATAGGTAGATGTCATATAGGCAAAGTGCAACCCTTCAACTGCTCTGAGTTCTGAGCCTCAGGGCTTCCCCTGTTGGCTGACCTCCCTTCACGCAACATATGGAGAATGGGCCAGTATCACATGACCTGATCAGCTTATGGAGGTCAGCTAGCACTAGGTCTAGCGCCAGTGTCTCAGACTACTTCCTCCCATTCTGACCATGCTGGTGAGGAAAGGTGAGGTCTGTGCTACCCTTGTGGAAGTAGGGAAACTGGGGCTGCTCTACTCTCAGAATTCTGACTCTGCCCTGGGGCTCTCACTATCAGCTCCCTGAGCTTGCAGCCTATGAGCATGAAGGTTAACAATATAAGACTATCTAACCATGACTGGCCAATTAAGCTTCGATTATATATCAGGATGGGACCAGGGACTTCAAGCCATGCAGCACCAACCATACCAGGCACCAATATGCAGACACCAGTAGACCAGATGGCCACTCGCTCAGCCTCTTCCCCCTTCCCAGTCCTGTAGCTCAGAGCAGGCATATCCCCTGGCTCTGCTTGCAACCCCTTTGGAGAAGAGGTCTCTTCCATGTTTATACTGTAGAATAAACAGAGCTTCCTGATCAAAGGCGGCCCATCCCAAAGACGATTTCCAGGAGTGTTTTCTCAGCTGAAGCCACACTTGAATTTGGAGGACTGACCCTGGCTGTGTTTGAGCCTGAGATTGACACCAGCATGTTTCAGAAAGGGACAAAACTCCATGTGTCTCCAGGCCAGCATCTCCCGGCTCAAAAGATGACAGAGCCCAGGTGGTGAGAGGCAGAACTCTCTGCAGCAGTAGCTGCGACCACCCACCCATCTCAGAAACAGGCAGAGGCTCTGCCTTGGAAACATAACCCAAGCTTCAAGACAAGAAGCAGAATGCAGAACCCTCTGGAGAGATGGACAGTCCTGCTTTCTGATTCAAATCTACAGCCCAACCACATGGGAACAAGTTTCTGGAATTTCCACTGTAACAAGAGTGGAGTGCCAT